TTTTTCCCATGGACATCCCTCGCACAATCTCATTTTAACCCTGGGTACAAAAAAAAAAAAAAAAAAACTATTTCAAGCATGATTATTTATCCAATAGAAGTTCTGTATATGATATCAAATATTACACGTGATATCAAAAAATACCTGCAAAATAAAAATATTAATAATAAAAACTGTAGAAATATACCTTAGTAGGAAGGATGAGCTGTTCACATATAGCACATGTCTGTGCCAGAATCCTATAAAACAAAAATTAGGCCAAATAAAATACAATCAGACATAACAATCAAAGAATATTCACGTGTTATATAACTTGGGTTGCTTTTCTAGGCAATATTAATTCACAATCTGTTAAACCCCTTTTTGCTCCATAGACAAAACCAGCATTCACTAGCCAGCACTCAATCAGCAGAAACCTGTGGGAATGAGAAATTAATCTTCAGACAATGGATGTTGTGATGCAGAAGACAACATAATGAGTAAGTGTTATTACACACACACACACACACACACACATATATATATATATATATATATATGTGTGTGTGTGTGTGTGTGTGTGTAATAACACTTACTCATTATGTTGTCTTCTGCATCACAACATCCATTGTCTGAAGATTAATTTCTCATTCCCACAGGTTTCTGCTGATTGAGTGCTGGCTAGTGAATGCTGGTTTTGTCTATGGAGCAAAAAGGGGTTTAACAGATTGTGAATTAATTATTTATACCTTTCAGAAATGTATCTTTCTTTTGGAAAATGACATAATGGCGCTGAGTGTTTTGCTTGTAGGAAAGATTTTAGTGTGTGAAAAACGGTCATTTAAAGGCACCAAAATCTGTAACCACAGGGCTCAGTTATGAGACAATAGCCCATTAATGGGACAATTTTCTATTTGAATGCTTTGATGATCAATCATAGATGACATACTCCACACTAAATAAATGCATTTCAGTAATCCATTTCCTGCAGTCACATAGTTTTAATGGTATGTAAATGGATGTATGAGATCAGAAAGGGGGAAACAAAACAAGAAACATAATGAAAGTGTTGTCTCTTGTGATACCTGTTGGATGGGTTATCTAATCTAGTTATCTGTTCGTGTTTGGTGACTTTTGCTCCGGGCTGTTGGCATTGAAATGACTGGAATGCTGTTGTCTGCGGGCATGCGCGGACTCATTACTTGAAAGCACAATAGTAAGTGAGAAAAAAAATTGCATAATTAAAATAACATTAATTTGACACATTTTCCTTGAGATATTTACACAGTATAATATATTTAATTATGAATAACAATTGCATTAAAATTATTATCAATGAATATTAAAATAGTTTAAAAAATGATCTTTTAATTATTTTCTTTTCATAAAAAACAAATTTTCAAGACAACATAAATCAAAGGGGAGTTTAAACAGTTAAAAAAGATAATAATTAAAATAATGCTACATAGTTTAATAACAGTCAACAACTTCTGTTCATAAACACCTAAACTACCCCTGGGCGAAATCACGCATCCTGCCACAGTAAAGGATTGGCTCATGAATATTAATAAGTTGTGATGACGTTCTCTAGAAAACCTTCCAATAGAGAGCCGCTTGACTCATGAATATTACGCGAAGTCCTCATGCAGGACTGAATCAATCTTGACTGAGGAAAACCTAAAATCATGTTAGTTTATTTTGTAAACGTGAACTATCACAGACGTTAAATCGGGTGGATGTTGTCTCTGAAAAAGTCAACGAAGTGTTAATCTATTATTTCCTGATTTGTGCGTGAATTTATGATTAAATCTCCTGGATCTATCAGATTTTCTTCGGTTAATGTAAGTTAAACTGTTTCTTGAATAACGCAATCGCGTTTTTCCAGCTGTTGGATCCCGAACGCAAGTTTGGACAGGTAACTTGCGCGCGCACACGCCCTTCTCTGAGCACAACAGGTATCAGAATCAGGAAGAGCCTGTGTCGTCAGACAAACTCAATCCACCATGCACGATCCAAGGGTTTAAATCAAACAACACACACACATATATTACTTTGGAAAGTTCAGAACCCTCTGAAGGAGAACGATGGGTTCATGCGTGTTTCCAGTATTCATGGGATTGATTTTACTGCAGATTCACAAAATCTCAGGTGAGTCTACAAAGAAGCAACACCCCAAACTCGTTTTTACCATCCTTGTCACTGTCATTTTTCGCTTATTAATCGTTTGTCAAGGTTTAATATTCCGAGCAATTGAAATATAGCCCATGAAATATATAGATATATTTGACATTAAAAGCTTAAAAAGTGATCAGGTATAGGCTAATGATTTGACAGTTTGAGCTGCTGGGAGGGTTTGTTGCGTTTTTATATTGAGACACTTAATTTAATTGAACCATGATGGGTATTGATAACAAATTCTTACATTAATGCATATAAAATGACTAATATCCACTGTTCTTCCCAGCAGATCTGAATCTGGCCTCCCTTATGGCTTAGCACTGTCATTTGCATATACGACAGATGCTGTGAAAAAGAACTTGTTAATTATTGACTAACAATCTGTTACTGTACAAATGGAGGGCGGTTTACTGTAACGTGCTCTTGGGTAGGGAGGGAAAAGCATAAGACTTTCACTGTTTTCTCTATAGTGAAATGCATGTCTGAGAAAGTCAGTGTTTGCTTTTCTATTGACATTTCAGCTTTAGGGACAATGGACTTTCATTTTCACAGCGTGGGAAGTGACCTTCAAAGTGTTGCAGATGTATTGACGGTCAGAGCTGTGATTTTGAATGACTAAAAAGAGCTAAAAGGATTTGTGTCTAGTTTAATGGGTTATTTGAAAGTTTGGGTAACAGATTTGTTCTTTTTTCAATGCCACGGATGCCTTAAAATGTACATCAAAACAAACTAACATTTGGGATTTCCATTGTATATCTTCCACATACAACTTTAACAGTTATGTTAAACAAATAACTTGGTTAAAGGAATACTTTACCTGAAAATGTGAAAATGTACTCCGTCTCAGGCCATCCAAGATGTAAATGAGTATTTCTTCATCGGAACAGATTTGGAGAAATGTTGCATTACATCACTTGCTCACCAATTAGATCCTCTGCAGTGAATGGGTGCCGTCAGAATGAGAGACCAAACAGCTGATAAGTCCATCAATGAACGTCTTGTAAAGTGAAAAGCTGTGTGTTTGTAAGAAACAAATCCATCATGAAGACATTTTTAGGTTTAAAGCCAAAATACAAGTTCTCTATCCATAATATTGCTTTATGAAAACATAATCTTGTCAGAATTAAGAGGGAAACAGATCAAGCACCATCCACAAGCAAAAACAGTCCAAAACAGTTCTATGTTATTGGTGGATTTTGGTGTGAGAGACAACAGGAGATGGACTTTTTCACTGCAGGAAACGTTATTATATGGATTAGAACTTTGTCTGCTTTACAAGATGCTGATTGATGGATTTAGTTTAGAATATCTAGAGGCTGGAGAGGTGTGTGTTATATAAATATTTGCGGATGTTGTAGTCATTCTCATGGGGTAATGTGAGACCGTGTGGATGTTTCTCTTCTGCGTGGTTGCTTTTGTTTTGTTGAAAGTTAGATTTGTGCAATCGAAATCATGTCTAAACTTGTAAACATCTTTCGATCAAGTGAGGTACGAGATCTCGATGCATTTGACCAGCGTTTGAACAAAGTTGACTTTACCAACCAACATCTAAGCCTAATTTCTAATAGGCACTATATGAAGCATATGGACATTCTATCATGCACCAAACTTTCTGCAACGTCAGCATTTCTCAGAGTTATTATGGGCAAGGTATTTTTTTTCTTAATTAGGGAGGATCCCAGAATGCCTGATATGTGTAGTGTAATGCGCAGCTATGTTCGTTCATGGACTCTTCCTGTTCAAACTTTTACCTTGTGTGAATCAGTTCTTTGTGTTTCGTTTTTCTGTTTGCTTTCATGTGGGCTACAACTCTCTGCTTTATTCAAGCTGTTCGTTTACGTGGCTCTGTATTGATCGTTTTGTAGAGCAACTCTGTGTCCAAGAACAGTCTAGATCAGGGCTGTCCAAACTCGGTCCTGGAGGGCTGGTGTCCTGCAGAGTTTAGCTCCAACCCTAATTAAACACACCTGAACCAGCTAATCAAGCTCTTACTAGGCATAGAAACTTCCAGTCAGGTGTGTTGAGGCAAGTTGGAGCTAAACTCTGCAGGACACCGGCCCTCCAGGACCGAGTTTGGACAGCCCTGGTCTAGATGAATTAAATGCTTGATTTGAATTTTATTGCATAATTTTTCTAATAGAATAAGTCCAAATAAAGGCCTGTTCACAAAAAGAAAAAATAGTATAAAATCAATAAACAAAAAGTCAGTCTAAACTGAGAGGGAGAGAAAGAGAGAGAAACACAAAAAAACAGAAAGTAATTTTGTTTCTTAATACATAAATATTAAATTATACATTTTCAATACATTACTTTGCATTCCACAAATTTTGTAAAATACATATAAAAATATTTATTTATTTATTTATTTATTGCAGAATGTCATAAAATAGAAGTGACCCCTGACTCTGGCACCATCGTAATCTTCAGCAAAAAGGCAGGACATGGTCTGGACTGTAGCGTGTGTAAGAATGAAGGTCCGTCTCAAACCTGTAACTCCAACCTCAGACTTACTGAAGCTCAGCCCACCACCGTAACTTTCAACTGCTCTCAGCCGGGGGACGTCTTTAGTGTGGAGATCATCCAAGAAATCGGTGAGTAACAACATGCAGATTCTGAATGATCCACTTGATACAAATCACTTAAATCTCTACACAGATTGCCCAACAACAGACTGCAGCATCATTGCAGTGCATCCGGATTCGACCCGATTCCTGGAGTTCACCAGAACCTTTACCTGGGATCTGAAGGTTCAGTCCGGCAAGGTGTTCCAGCTAGACTTCCCATCTCCAGGAATGAGACAGATCAAGCCTTCAGAATCCTGTCCAGACAAACACACCTACACCATCACCACATACCAGCGTGCAGGACTGGCCAACATCGGCTCGTTCTGTCGGAACGGTACCATCAGCCGTATCCAGGTCTTGTATAGAGGTCGAGTGACTCTGGAGGTTCCCAAAGGTACAGACTTGAACCCATCTGACTTCAAAGTGTCCATGGGACCAGCAGCAACAGGTTAGAATTAGTGATTTTACTTAACTTCATTAGTGTTTAGCTTCTGATTGCAATCATTTTATTCCTTGTTTTTTGCATCTCTAGGAGTAGTTGAGATGGATGTCAAGCTGCCCAGAGGACCGTTTTCTGTTGATTTCTTTACTCCAAACTACGCCACAGGCTACTACGATGAACAAAAAATGAAGTGGAACTTTGCTCTTAAGCCTATGCACAATTTTACTGTTCGCTTTCAACATTACGCTCCACCAGAATGCAAAAAGAAAACTGTTATGTGTGATTATGCACTGGGAGACGAGACTTCATTCACAGTGGCCCCAACAGAAATTCAACCGGCTAATAAACAGGGAGATTTCAGCCTGACTCTGGCCAACTGTGATGCAAAGAAAGTGGCGAATGTTCCTGGGCTTTCCTTGAACTTCAACGTGGAGGTGTTCAGGAGTGGGACTCCATGTAAGGAAAAAATGAGCCTATAACTTTGGTTTTGTGTCTGAAATCATTGTCAGGGAAGAGCAAAAATATACTTAAGTGCCTTGGCGATTTCGTTGCTCGGTGAAGTCGCGCAGGTAAAGTCGCAGGTCTTTACACTCGTTGGTCTTCCCACAAGGAGGCCTGAACGCTTCCGCTGATGGTGCAGCCGTCTGTCTCTTCTGTTGACTAATCGCTTGACCCCATGAATATTTCATGCTTCTAAGTTGCTGATAAATAACATGCTGTTCATCTTCCTTTTCTGTTCAGATCTTTGCACTGTGGATCTCCGGAACGAGGAGGGATTGAGTCTGCAAATAGAAAATAAAAACCCAGAGTCGTACTGTGAAATGAGCTTGAACTCTGTGATGCAGGAGAAAATAGTGGTTCCTGCGGGCACCAAAGCTGACCTGTCCTTCCTCGACTGCCCCGTGCAGGATCTGCAGCTGACAGCCACCAAAGTCATAGGTAACTACAGCTCAGTTATATGTCACAATGTTAAAGAACCTTCTAACACAATGGAAAGGAAAATTTTTAGATTTAGAAAAAATACTTTATTTGATCTGGCTTAAACTCATCAGAGAAGTAAAATCACAC